TGGCCACGGGAGGAGCAGACACCACAGGCTAGTGGTAGCTTGATGAAAGGTTTCTTAAGCACCACACGCCACCTCCACGCCGGTCTCTGCCATTCTTTCCTGATTTACATGATGAACTGAGTAAATCATGGGGCAGACCCTTCTCTACATGGCTTTCCACACCCCGATCACTGAACTACAGTAATGTGATGGGGGTTAGGGACCGTGGTTATGGGAGGATGCCTCGGGTGGAGGATGAGCTTGCGAGCTATCTCTCCCCTCGACTTGCGTCCTCCCTGGAGAAGCCGGCGTTACCATCCAAACCATGTCGCACCACATCCACGCTTGTGGGGAAGGCGTACATGGCAGCGGGCCAGGCAGGTGCGAGCTTGCACACCACGGTGCTTCAAGCCTACCAAGCCAACCTGCTACAGGAGATGGTTCAGAGGGGGGGTCCCTCCGAGGAAGATCTGGCGGAGCTTCGCAGAACCACGAAGCGTTAGACGCAGTGCGAAGCGTTCCGCCAGTACCTCCCTCGCCGGTCTGGACCCAAGGCAGCTGAGGCTGCCAGGCGTAGGTCCCTTCCCTCTACGAGCTCCTACGGAGAGAAGGGAAGCAGAGTGTCGCTTCTCGGGGGCCCCCCGAGGAGCTGGGGCAGCGAGACGGCGCTCTCACCCTCAGCCGTCTGAGAGACGCGATCTGAGGACCGTCATCCAGTCCCGACAGAGCTCAGGGAAGACCGGGGTAGGGGAGTCTTTCTCCCCTCCCGCACCCCCCCCCCCCCCCCCGGAGGCCGACCGAGGTCCCCTCCGCCGTGACAACAGGTGATGTTATCCCGCCGTTTACACGTTCAGGACGCACCTGCCACCATCGAGTCCGCACCGTACTGCCTGCCCCGAGGGTCTGCAGACGGACGGCATCCCGACTCACTCACCGTGGATCTTCAGCGGCTCCCCCCTGCCGTTCTGGGGCTTCAGGGGTCCACCAGAAGATCACACGAGACACCGACCACCAGCCCCGAGGGGCTGGTTCCGTTGGCAGACTTTGCAGACGCTTGGCGGAGCCTGACGAACATTTCTCCGCGGGTCCTGCGCACTGCCATAGATGGGTATCGACTACAGTTCAAAGCCCGCCCTCCAAATTCAACAGAAGAGAGGGGGTGGTTTGGACTGTGGTCCGCCCGGAGCAAGGTCCAGTGTTGGGACAGGAAGTTTGTACTCTGCTGAGGAAAGGGGCCGTGGAACGTGTCTCCCCCCCAGACAGAGACTTCATAGTCCCCAAGAAGGACGGAGGGCTGCGTGCCCTATTTTGGATCTGCGGGTTCTAACCGGTCTCTGAGGAGATTCAGGTTAAAGATGCTCATCATCCCCGCCACCGTGACGCACATCCAATCTGAGGATTGGTTTGTCACGATAGATCTAAAGGACGCCTATTTCTAGGTCTCCATCCGTCCTTCTCACAGGAAGTTCCTGAGGTTTGCCTTCGGGGGTGTGGCTTACCAGTATCGGGTTCTTCCATTCGGCCTGGCACTTCCCCTAGCACATTCACCAAGTGTATGGATGCAGCACTGGCCCCGCTGAGGCTCCGGGGCATCCGGATTTCAACTTCATCGACGACGGGCTCATCCTAGCCCAGTCTCGAGAGTTGGCGGTTCGGCATCGAGATGTCGTTCTGGCTCGTCTGCGGTTTAGGGCTGAGGCTCAACGCAAAGAAGAGCGTGCTGGCGCCCACCCAACGGGCTACGTTCCTAGGGGTTGCATGGGATTCGACAACGATGTGGGCACAATTGTCTCCGGCACGTGTCGACACCATATTGGCTGCCGTGAAAGGGGTGAAGTTAGGCCACGCCATCACTATGAAACACTTTCAACGAGTGTTGGGTCTCCTGGCGGCTGCGTCCAGCGTAATACCATCTGGACTGCTGCACATGAGACCCCTGCAGTGGTGGCTAAGGAACAAGGGTTTTTCCCGGAGGGGAATCCTCTCCGTCTGGTTTGGGTTACGCGCAAGTGTCTTCGTTCCCTATCAGTTTGGAAGGAAACTTGGTTCCTGTCCCAGGGGCCCGTGCTGGGAGGGTCTTGTCGCCGGCTGGTTATTTCGACAGATGCCTCCCTCACGGGCTGGGGCGCGGTCATGGACGGCCGCTTTGCAAGGGGATCCTGGCAGGTGCATCGATCCGAGTGGCATATCAACTGTCTCGAGATGTTGGCGGTGTTCCAGGCTCTAAGGAGTTTCCTGCCCGATCTCCAAGGCCACCACGTCCTGGTTCGTTCTGAGGAGAACAACACAGCGGTGGTGGCCTATCTGAATCACCAGGGCGGTCTGCGCTCGCGCCCTCTGGACAGACTGGCGCGTCAGATCCTCCTGTGGTCCCAGCAGAGGTTACTATCGCTCAGGGCGATGTATTTCCTGGGGACACAGAATCAGGGAGCAGACCTGCTGTTGAGGCAGGGGCTGAGGCCCGGGGAATGGAGACTTCATCCCGAAGTGGTGGAGCTCTTGTGCGAAGAGTTCGGCCCCATAGACGTGGATCTGTTTGCGTCTCAAGAGACTACGCACTATGGTTTCTCTCATTCCTCCAGCCCCGTTGGGTCTGGACGCCATGGTACATTCGTGGCCGAGGCTACGTCTGTACGCTTTTCCCCCAGTCGCTCTGCTCCCGGGGTTCTGGAGCGGGTCCGCCAGGACTATGTCGGCCTACTGCTCGTAGCCCCGTTCTGGCCAACCCGGGTGTGGTTCTCGGACATCATGTCGCTCCTGGACGGCCCGCCGTGGCGGGTCCCTCTGAGGAGAGACCTGCTGTCCCAGGCGCAGGGCCGGGTTCTTCACCCTTGCCCCGCCATATGGCGACTGTGGGTCTGGCCCCTGAGGGGGCACAGTACCTAGAGGCGGGTCTAACAGCCGGAGCAGTCGAGACCCTCCTGAGCTCCAGGGCCCCGTCCACACGGAGGATGTACGGCCTGAAGTGGAGTGTTTTCTCCACTTGGTGTAGGGAGCGGTCGGTGGACCCTGTTACCTGCCCGGTGGTTCAGGTACTTGAGTTCCTCCAGGACCGGTTCTCTGCTGGTCTTTCCCCTTCCACCCTCAAGGTGTACGTGGCAGCTATTTCATCTTTCCACACCCCTCTGAGGGAGGGGTTCTTGGGGAAACTTCCCTTGGTTGTACTTTTCCTCCGTGGTGCCCGGAGGATGAGACCTGCGACTCGGTCCAAGGTTCCCACTTGGGATCTGGCAGTGGTTCTTGGGGCGTTGGCTGAGGCCCCCTTCAAACCCCTGGAGTCAGCTAAGGCTAAGCACTTGACCCTCAAGATGGCCTTTCTCCTTGCTATCACCTCTCTGAGGAGGGTGGGGGAGCTCCAAGCGCTTTCGGTTTCCCCGCAAAGCCTGGAGTTTGCCCCGGGGAATATTAGGGCTATCCTGCACCCTCATTCAGGATACATCCCTAAAGTGCCTTCTTGTGCGGCAGGGTCCACAGTGCTGCAGGCATTTCATTCTCCACCTCATGTGATGGCGGAGGACGGGAGACTTCATCTGCTCTGCCCTGTCAGAGCACTGAGTATTTACACTCTGAGGTCCTCCCGTTGGAGGAAGGCTGACCAGCTGCTAGTGTGTTTTGGGTCTCCCAGGGCCGGGCTCCCTGCATCCAAACATACTATTAGCAACTGGATTGTTCAGACTATTTCCCTGGTCTATCAGGTGCGCGGTTTGCCTTCACCTGTGGCTGTGAGGGCTCATTCTACCAGAGGCAAGGCGGTCTCTCGAGCCCTCCTTTCCGGGGCCTCTTGCAGGATGTTGTTTAGCGGCTGGCTGTGCCACTCCGCACACATTCATTCGGTTTTACAGTCTTGACCTTCCTTCGGCACCTGGCACTCGTGCGCTCTCCTCTTAGTAGTGCCAGTTTATTGCACACAGGGGCAGGCGGGGTTTTCGGCACGGTTTAGTGGGTATCTCGTTCCCATAGTGTCGTAACCGACGCAGTTCGAGTTCCCTCGAAGGGGAACGTCTCGGGTTACGTATGTAACCCTGGTTCCCCGAGAAGGGGAACGAGAGACTGCGTCGGCCCGCCACACCTCTCTCCCCGCCTGAAGCGCCTGCTTCATAGTTTAAGCTAATGATGAGTGTGTACAGGTGTGCTTTATACTCCTCCGGTTATTCCGTCACACCTTACCGTTCTAGCAACAGGCCAATAGGATTGGAGTGATTTCATTCACGTTCAGACCTGCTTCGCCTAGAGGCGTTCCCATAGTGTCGTAACCGACGCAGTCTCTCGTTCCCCTTCTCGGGGAACCAGGGTTACATACGTAACCCGAGACGTTCCTCCACATCTCCTCCTCCAACTCCTACTGTTCCTCTTCCTTCACCTCTTCCTCCTCTCCATACTGCTCTTCCTCCTCCTCCTCTCTGGTGTCCTCTATGTCTTCTTTCAGATTTGTTTGGATCCATTGTTCCAAAACTGAAAGAACTGAACTTTTATCTATCTATCTGCTCCTCCTGCTTCCTCCTCCTCTTCTTCTCCCTCTTCCTCCTCTCTCATGTCCTAGACCTTTCTCTTTAGATTTCTCTGGATCCATTGTTCCAAAACTGAATGAACTGACTCTGGCCCTTTTATAAAGCTTCTGATTGGTGTGTGATCAATTTTGACTCCTTGTGTTTCCACCTGGGTAGCTGTGTGCTCATTGAGCTCAACCTGTGCTGATTGAGTGAACAATATTGAATGTCAGTGTTTTCTCAATGACCACATGGTGCAGGCAATGAGAAATGAAGTGTGCTTTTTGAAAAACCCAGTTATAGTTTTGCTTTCGCTCACTTTCACTTCTTGCAGACTCGTATGCCTCATAAAATCAGATACAGTTGGAAAAATACCAGTGACTACTTTATTATTCTGAAAACAATTAGATTACATAAACCATAAAAATAGATTAAATTTAGAGAGATAATAGCTTAGTGCAGTGCATTAGTTTACACACAAAATGGAAACATATATGGAGGAGGTAAAGCAGTTTTTTGGAACTTTGTGTTTATCAACAACAATTTCAATATCCATAACTAGTGATAGATGTGGTACTTCAGTGCTGCAGCTTTTGGTTGAAAAAAACACCAGAAACAGGAAGTGTTTCAGGAAGGACAAGCTGTGTGAAATGTTTCTGTGCACTGCAGTTTTTAGTTAATCTGTGCTGGTACTGATAATTGACACAGAGCAGCTGTCATGTCAGCTATGGGGAGCATACAGCAGAGAAACCTACGCTATTTGGCCCTTGGTAAGACAGACTTTCCAAAATTTTATTTGAAAAGCAGCTTTTTTGTACAGCAGGGTTGTTGTATTGTATAGAACAGAAGTCTCTTAAGGCCATTTAAAAAACTTCCTATCATTAAAAGAAACACGGGAATCTAAAACAGAAACAAGGAAAACTTTCATTTCTGCACTTTTCAGTTTACTGAATGTAATGAGCCATGTCATTTCTTCTGTTCCACAGTCTTTTTCCTCCTGACCGCTTCTTCACCTGCTGCAGGTCAGTTCATTCTCCTGTGTCATGCGTACAGTAATGTTAGTTTGCTGTTTTCTTTATTTTTTATCAGATCTGGGAGTAACACGTTACAAAAGTAATACAATTACAGTAATGTATTGCTTTTTGCTGTAAAGCGGTAATATAACATGCATTACTTAAAAAAAAAACCGGTAATATTATAACCGTCACAATCTCAGTAGCGCGTGTTACAACGCACCCGAAATTAAGTGGTGTTTTGTTTTTATAGTAATTCACCAACACCAAGAAACATTTGGGCAGCAGAAAAACAAATCCATAAGTAAAAGAGTAACGTTATTTCCTGTTGCTGGAATGCGATGGTCGACAGGATGCAAACTACAGCAGCTCCCCTGATGGATCAATCAAATTTCTGTAGGCTGTGTGTCTGTGCTTTAACAAATAACTTTCATGATCAGAGAGGCTGCTGTCAGTTCATCCTGACTGATCCTGATCCACATATGCAGGCACATCTTACTATGAGCATAATGCACCAATTAAAAAGCAGTGAAAGTTACTCAAAAGTAATGTAAAGCATTACATTTCATAGAAAGTAATATTGTACTCTAATTAATTACTCTCAATTGACAGTAACTAGTAATCTATAATGTATTACATTTTGGAAAGGACTTGTCTAGCACTGGTCTTTAAAATACTCTCTGTTATGTCTTACATGCAATGAAGGTGTTCAGATCAGACTAGCTGGGTCCGGGTCTACTCAGTGCTCTGGGAGAGTTGAAATCTATCACAACAACGCCTGGGGAACAGTCTGTGATGACAGCTGGGACTTAAATGATGCTGAGGTGGTGTGCAGACAGCTGGTCTGTGGTGCAGCACTGAATGCCACTCAGTCGGCCCATTTTGGTCAAGGAACCGGTCAAATCTGGCTTGATGATGCGGCCTGTTCAGGAAGTGAAAGGTCTCTAACTGAGTGTCGGCACAGAGGATTTGGGTCACACGACTGTAACCATGGTGAGGATGCTGGTGTGGTCTGTTCAGGTGAGAAAACATTTCAGATAAAGTATTTTGAATAAATGTATCCTTTTCTGTGTATTTTAGCAGCTCTGTCACCGAGTCATTGTGGTGTGAAATGTAACACTGTTCAGGTGCAGCACTATATGAGCTGCTAACCACACCCTGCAGAATGCTTTTTAGAATTGAAGAGCAGAATAACAAGTGGGAAATGTTGCTCAATACAGTAAATGAAACTGTAATGTAGGTGATGAAGTTCATCGAGTGTTTGATCTACTGTGAAAAGTGTTTTATATTTCTCACAGTCTGTATGGGTGATGCAAAGTATAATGAATCATAACCTTTGCCAAATTTGTCTTACAGTAAAGATTTCTGTCATGACTAAATGACAAACAAACACATGTTCTATCCAGCACTGATTTGTCTTCTGTGTTCTGAAACTAGGTGTTCCGATCAGACTAGCTGGGTCCGGGTCTACTCAGTGCTCTGGAAGAGTTGAAATCTATTACAACAACACCTGGGGAACAGTCTGTGATGACACCTGGGACTTAAATGATGCTGAGGTGGTGTGCAAGGAGCTGGGCTGTGGTGCAGCACTGAGTGCCACTAAGTTAGCCCACTATGGTCAAGGAACCGGTCATATCTGGCTTGATGATGTGGCCTGTTCAGGAAGTGAAAGGTCTCTGACTCAGTGTCAGCATGGAGGATTTGCGAAACACAACTGTGGACATGGTGAGGATGCTGGAGTGGTCTGTTCAGGTGAGCAAGATTTTGTAAATATGTCTCTTATATGTAGCTATTCATAAGTAAAGCAGTAATACTACCATTACTTCTACTAATACTAACAACAACAGTAGCCTAATTGGCAGTAAAACCTTGCCTTGTCTGAGACTGTATGTTACAAAAAAAACATTTCAGAGCTTATTTCTAATGTGGTGTCCGAACGATAATGCTGCGATGATGTGTTGAGAAGAAATCCGCTTGACACTGTTCTTGGTTATAAAAGTTTATTACATCAAAGAATTCAGCATCAATTACAAGCTCTGCAGCAGCTTGGAGAGTGACCCAGCCCGATGACCACTCTGTCTCTCTGTACATCGAACACAGCTTATATAGGACATGTTTAGGTCTCTGCTAAAAACCATATAAGGGCACGGTGCTGTAAAATAAGTGTAACCATCTGTTAGACACCACAGAAGGGTACAGTCCCTTCATACACACTAACCTCTTTATACACACTAATCTCTTTATACCTAATTTCTACTTCCCCTAACACTGCACCCATCAATCATTACCTCCCCATAAGGGTTCACTGTCCCTCTCACCAGCTGCAGAGCATCATGTTAAACTGTAATGGCCGGATACACGTAATGGCCAGATGCACATATGTTATACACCACATATTCCCCCCTACGAGACTGAATTGAGTCTCGAAAAACAAAAAGAGACAAATTTCTCCAACACACACTTCTAGCAATATTATTTTTAGCAGCATATCAACTTTATGGAGTGTGAGAACGAAAAACCTGTCCGGCAGCCTTCATTCCAAATTCCCTCCAAGACAATCGAGACAGGAAAATTTTCTCACGGCCCCTCTGCCTTAGGCGGCCACGCATGGTACTCCAGTCCAATTAATAAACGACATCTTTATCAGTCAATGCAGAAATACGGTTAAGCCAATACATGTGAAAACCTCAGGAAATTAAATAAATCAAAACCATGTCCGAATTCAGGCTGGTCAACCCATCGGACCCTCCAACAGACCTTTCCCTGCCTAGACCCTATATCCCTAAGCATCAAGAAAAAGAAAAAAACCTGAGGTCCCCAAATATTAACTCCCTAAGTCTTTACACAGTTAACACACAAAAAGAATATAATTGTTAATTAAGTATTATTCATTCGCATATGTATTCATATCTATATCAAAGTAGACATAGGAAGGTATTCCACTGCAACTCCTCAGCAGTGTCGATGCAATCCAGACGTTTCCACACCGTCCTTGTCCAGAGTCCATTCATACTGTCCTTGTTTGAGTATTTGAATCCCCATCTGTACATCCCCGTATACTCTGGAAGAAAAGAAAACACCAACCAGTATCTTGTTGCAAATAACACATGAAAATTAAAACCTCAATGTATGAAAATACAAAGTAACATTAAAATGGATATCTTTCCATCATTAATTCATCTGGTTCCCCTTCATCCTCTCCATCTGAATCAGCCATAGTTAACAAAGGCATCTGAGTGTTCTCCCCAGGCATTACCACTCCAACCCATCTCAATATCATAGCTTTCGCAAAAGTCAATAGCACCGTACAAAAGCAAAACATCAAACACAGCGCTACAAAGGCTGCTACCAAAATCTGAACCACCACTGCTCCCACTGGTCCTAACTGATTTTGTAGCCAAGTATTTGCTGACCATCCAGCTCCCTCAGATTGACCAAACGCATCCCTTATACTCTTTAATGCATCTATAACACTAGTGATATTATCAGAACTATCTGGGATCAAAGTATAACAACCGTCTCCCGTCAAGTTCATAGCCACACACAAACCTCCTTGTTTGGCTAAAATATAGTCAAGAGCCATGTCATGTTTCAACAATGTCAGTCTGTGACTTCTTTGAGTATTTGACAGAAGATTAAACCCTCGTATAGTTTCATTTGCAAATCCCCATTAATTTTTTCACACACCCCTTGACTTTGTGGGTGATAAACTGCTCCAAGACGTTGTTTGATTCCCAATTTTTGCTAAATCAATTTCACTGTTTTATCCACAAACTCTTTCCCATTATCTGATGATATTCGATCTGGAAGTCCCCACCTGCTTATGACTTCTCTACACAAAAACTTGGCAACCGATTGAGCGTCTTTCCGCTTGGTTGGACAGGCCTCCGGCCATCGTGAAAATCTATCCACAACCACTAGCATGTATCTTTTCCCTTCAACTGGTTTTATCATATCGACAAAGTCAACAACTAACTCACGCATAGGACCCCTTGGGGTGGGAATGTAACCCCTGCGGACATTATTTTTCAAACAGATTGTACACCTGCCTATGACATAATCAATCTGTTCAAGCAAATATGGTGCCCAAAAACCATACTCCTTTGTGATTTTTCTCCTAACCTCCCCCCTGGCAACATGAGCTAACCCATGTGCTTCCTGAATCATCAAACCTAACAGGTCCAGAGGTGCTACTATCAGTCCCTCGTGATTTCTCCAAAGACCCATAGAATCCTTAACAGCACCTCGGTCCAGCCACGACTGTTTATCAATCATAGATGCAGCTTCCTGCATCAAAATCACTTCCTTAAGCGTAATTCTGTCTTCCAAGTCCACCCCATGAGTGACCCGAAAAACCTTGCCCAATTTGTCAGCTCCTGTGACAGCTTTTGCAGCTTCATCAGCAGCTTTGTTCCCTTGTGTCACTCTTGACGCATCTGTTTTATGAGCTGCACACTTAGCTATCGCTATCTCTTTAGGCCTCATCATAGCATGCAACAGTTTTATTATTTGTGCGTGATGTTGTATTGGAGAACCATCCGTTCTCTTAAACCCCCGACCTTTCCACACTGCTCCAAACAAATGACATACAGTATGTGCATATGCCGAATCAGTATATATTGTCACTCGCTGCCCGTCAGCTAACAAACACGCTTCTGTTAGCCCCACAAGTTCTGCAAGCTGTGCAGACGCAGGCTGTGGTATTACTTCAGCTTTTTCAACAACAAATCCCGTTCCTTGAGCTTTTACTACTGCATAGCCAGCACACAATTTATCTCCCACACGATAACAAGACCCATCAGTCCAATACTCCAGGTCTGCCTCACGTAGTGGAAGGGCTTGCAAGTCTGATCTAAGCCTTGAGTATTTCTCTGCCTCTTGAACACCATCATGTGGCTCACCATCCTCTGACGTTGGCAAATTCTCGGCTGGATTTACCGTATCACACCTTACCAGGGTGACATCCTCCTGCTCTAAGAGCCTATGATAGTCTCTAAGCCTTGGCATAGTCAATGTGTATTTTCCCCTAGTTCAGCAGATTCCTGAGACTATGATGGGTAAGAATTGTCACTGGGTAACCCCTCGTAACAGATGATGCTTTGTCATACATTAAATAAACTCCAACCATTGCTCTGTAGCACAGTGGTAGCCCTAATTCCACTTCTGAATATGCAGTCGAATAATAGGAAATAGGTTGAGGATTCGACCCTGTACCCGTTGGCTGACAAAGGACTGCACATGCATATTTACCTCCAGTGGAATTAGACACATACAACAAGAAATTCTTAGAGTAATCTGGTAGTGTGAGCGCTGGCGCCTCCTGTAACCTCTGTTTGATTGTTTAAAATGCCACAAGGCCTTCCTGTGTCCAGGACAGATTGCTGTGAAGTTGAGCGTTCCCAGTATCCTTAACCATAGCTCTCAAAGGTCCCGTCAAACTAGAATAATCCTCAACCCATGCTGAAGAATAACCAGCAATACCAAGAAACGTCAACATCTCTCTGACAGTTCTGGGCTTTGGAGCCTTGCGAATAGCCTCCAATTGACAATCAGAAATGCTTCTGTGTCCATGCGTTATTGTCTGACCCAAATATACAACCTTCTCCTGGCAATATTGCAACTTCTTTTGTGAGGCCTTATGCCCCTTTTCTGCCAATATTTGTAGCAATTTACTTGAGTCTTTGTGACATGTTTCTTCATCTTGTGAACAGATCATAATATTGTCGACATATTGAATCACAGTACTCTGCAATATCTGATCTATCCCTACCAAATCATCTTTCAATACTTTGTTAAAAATATGAGGACTGTGTTTAAATCCTTCAATCTCTCATACTCCTAAAACTGTCCTTTATATGTGAATCCAAATAAACCCTGACTCTCTACACTAAGAGGAACACTAAAAAATGCACCACACAAATCTAACACCGTGAAATGTGTTGCATCAGGAGGGATTTGGGCTAACAAAGTATGTGGATCCGGAACTTCTGCTGGAAAATCAGTTACCACTTCATTTACTGCTCTCAAATCATGAACCATACGATAAGTCTCATCAGGTTTCTTCACAGGCAACAAAGGCGTGTTACTCTGAGGATTTGTTGTCTTCTTCAAAACACCTGCTTTCAGAAGTCCCTCAATTTGTGGTTCGATTCCTTGAATTGCTTCATCCTTCAATGGATACTGATACTTCCAAGGAGGTCTAGCTCCTGGTCGAAGTTCCACTTTCACTGGTTGGGCTGATTTCACAAGTCCAATATCAGTACTGTGTTGAGACCACAAACATTCTGGAACTTGTCGCAACATCTCCTCTTTCATAGAATCCGAGTCCATCTTGGCACTACAAATAGATTCATGTGTCATCCGTACAGCTTGTGGCTGTCCTTGTCCTTTAGCTGAAATCATGATTTTAACAAATCGCTGATCTGTACTCCTCCAAATTGCCAAATTCTCTTTCATCGGTACAAAAACAGCTTCCTCCGCTTCATCATTTCCCCTATGTGTTTCTGCTCATAGTCTTCAGAAACCAACAAAGTCACATGTGGCACACTCTTCTCAATTTTGAATTCTTTCTCCAGATAATCATCAGTGTTTACCTTCATAGCCGCTCCTTGTGGTCCCCAAAATTATGCAACTTGAGCTTAGTTGAATTTCCTTTGGTTGATGAGCCAACCATTCCTCTGGGTTTGATTGGGCAGCATTCTTGAAATACTTGAGCGTACAATGGAATGGATATTCTGGAAGTTTCGCATCTG